GGGGAGTATGTTTTAAAATATAAATCTTCAGTCTCTGCCACCAGAGGTTCTTAGTCTACATTCTTAATAAATAACCCCAGGTGATTTGGGGCCCAAGGACCACACTTTGGGATGCACATCTCTATTTTGTTGTATGTTATTGATGTGTGTTTATTGCTACTTTGGGGCAAATTCACTTACTTGTGAGTCATCCCGATTTGTGAGGCCTTTTCTGAGTCACTGTGTTACCCTTCTTCAGATTCGTGGAGAGTACAGTCTTGCGGAATCCCCAGACAGACCTGTTCTAGGAGACTCTCCCAGGTTGAAGTAAATAGGCTCCATGGGACTCTTCAGCCGTCCACACTGCAACCAGATCTGGAAGCAGTAGCTGTCCCAGTTCATTCTGAATTTTTCTCATGTGTGTCACTGGCTCCAGTCTTTGGCTTTACCTTTAAGGTACTTTACGTAGGATATGAGACTGGGTGCTTTTAATCCCAGGGAACTGGAGTTGAGAACCCTTAAGGGGTAAAGCGCTATCAAATCTGATGGGTCAGGCTGAATCTTACTGGATTAGATTTATTGGCTTGGTTTGAGGAGCCTGCCCAGGTTATTTTTCCTTTTGGAAAATTACTGAACTCAACCAAATAGCATAAAAATTCATTCTTAGTCCCAGAGCGTACAAAACAGTCTTGGTTAACTTCTTGACAATGGCTTATCCTTTATAAGAAAGGGTGAAACTGAGTTCTCTTAGGTAGTAAAGCTTAAAGGGATATTTGTCATGTATAGTGTATGTTGTGAAGGATACAAAAGTAGTATGTGACAGTCCCCATTGGAAGATAGACTAACACAGAGGAAATAATAGGCCAGGACTCCTGCTGAATCATTCCTCTTCCAGAGCTTTCTTTCCTTCATCCCTAATTCACTGTAACCTCCTTCCACCCAGTGCAAAATGGAGGCCCTTGAACAATTCTCCCTCAGCCCTTCAGACAGCCTTAAAGCCAGTAGTATTAGGGGAAAAGTAATCTTAATTTTCCTATTGTAAAAATACAGGTAAATCCACAGAATTTTTAAGAGTATTTTTTATGACCAGCTGCAAATCTTTTTCTCAGAATCCAGACCTGAAAGTACTATATTTTCAGAATTTGTAGATTTGTGTTCTGTCTAGAATATTTGTGTTCTGTCTAGGATAGAACACAACTGATTCTTAATGTTGCTTGCTGTGTTTTCTCATTTAATCATCTCGTATCTGTCTTGTTTACCTAGAGTCTGTTATCCTGTGGATACAGAGCGTTACCAAAATGAGATAGAACTTCACTCCAGTAAATGTGCAGTGCTAGAATTTGGTCTGATTTCTGGAAAGCCATTCCTGATTCAAGAATGGAAGAAAAGTTGATTTTGTTATTTATTCTGCTGTAGCAGCGACAACCTGAGGTGGACAATAAAAAGGGGCAAGGGGAGAAAGGCCTGAGTTGAAGAGTAAATAGGAGAGTTGCAAAAATAGGTTGTATTACTCACTCATATCCCTGCCAGTTAGGGAGAAACTAGCCCTTATAGTGAACAGTGAATTTACGAGGTCTGGTACTATTTGAACTATTGTACAAGGGGTACAAGGCCTATCCTCTATCTGAATTTTCAGCTATTCCTTTCCGACTACTGTCCCTGAGGTTCGCTGTACTGAGCCACACTAGCCTTCTTTCTTTGCCTTTAGCACAGCAAGCTCATTCCTGCTTTGGTGTCTCTGCAGACACTTGATGTACCCTCTGCCTGAAACACTTTCTGCAGGTCTGCCTGAGCTGGCTCTTTCTCATCATTCAGGGCTCAACTCAGATGTCACTTTCTCAACGAGGCTTTTCTGGACTGCCCCATCTAAATAAAGCCTTTTGTCCTGTTATCCTGCTTTATTATCCTCATGGAACTTACTACTATTTTAAATTCTAATTTCATTTGTCAGTTTTCAGTCTTTCTCACTAGAATGTATTCAAGATCTTTTTGTCTTTGTTCTGTAGTTTCAAACAGTGTGCCCAGGTATGCATTTATTGTTGTCTGAAAATTTCAGTCAGTTCTGGACATTTTCAGTTATCTCTTTAAATATTGCCTCTCCTCTGTTCACTTCCTTCTCAAGCTTCTTCTTTGCTAATTTCATTTCCATGTATAACCCTTTGCTGCACAATCTTCTCAGATCTGTGCTCCATCCAGTTCACTAATTCTCTCTTTAATTTAATCTAATCTATGTAACCTCTGTTTTTAGTTTTAATAAGTTTTTTTCTGCAAGTTTTCTTTTTTTCCTCAAACCTCACTGTCTTTTTCAATATGTTTTTTCCTTTTTTTGTTGTTTGTTCTTTCTTTTTGACTTTGCCATTTGAAACATATAGTTTATCTGATCATTCTGTTACCTTAAGTTTTTTGGGAGGAGTCTTATTGTGCTATTTGTTGAATTTCCCAAGCCTTGTTTGTGGTGGATTATTTCTGCATAAATTTTTTATTTTTATTGTGAGCTAACTGTCAGCAGAGCTTTACTTGTGGGAATCCTCCATGCCCTGATTGCAGGTCTCCTCAAAGTTTTACATTTCTTCAGCCACATGTCAGGGTTATTGCTGACCTGGTACCACTTTTTGTGTTAAACTTTGGCTTGGGGTTTCTCAGACCACATAGGGGTATAATTAAAATATCAAATAAGCTTACAGAAAGGCCTATGATTGCAGGTTATTACAGGAGATTTTTTTTTTCCTCTCAATTCATAGCTTTCTCATTGTCATTGTGTGTCAACAAGCTAATTTTTTGTAGTCTGCTCTCTTTGAAGGTCATTACTTTATGTTGGGGCTCAGTTCCAATTACATGATTTAGGTGGGCCCAAGAACAGTAAACAACAGTCTTCAGCACAACTGGAAAGGTCTGATCTCATTTACCACTCTGGTTTTTAGGTCCCCCAACATTTTTGGCCCCAGGGGATCTTGTTTTCTTGTAAGCTCAGCTATGTGATTAAAAGACTATTGTTGTATAGCCAGACATAGAAAAACTTCTGAAGTTATCTACCTAGTTATACTGCCAGAAGCAAGATTTCTTCCCCCAGAATTCTTTGCTCATTGCTATAGCTGTAGCATCTAGCATAGTGCCTGGTCCATTGGGAGGGGTTATCACTACATACTTGCTGTTTGATTTGTGGAATTGGATGTTTCCATTTCCTTATAGGGAAATTGTTCCTTTTCCCTGTAGAGAAAGCCAGAGATGGTGCTCCAAATTCTTTTATATCCAGCAGCCAAGATAGTTAGCATCCTGTGAAGTATTTCAGTTTTCTTATTTTTTATGTTTAAACTTTAAAACGTCACTACTTTCCTAAGGACATGAAGATACTATTGCCAGTTGCTAGTAAAACCCAGCCTCATAAATTGGCAAATTAAAACCATCCCCCAGGAACATTACTGCCCATTGTCTTTTTTTATGCTGGCACTTAGGAAGTTCTTATGCTGATTAAATTGACCTTTATAGCAGTTCAACTAAGAATAGCAACCATAAGACATGGAAACTGTTAAGGCAAATGTTATTAGCCCCACAGTTCACGCTGCCACCAAAGAGATGAGATAATTTTTTGCATATGTGCAAAACGCATACTGTTCATCATTTTCCATTGTAAAAATTGTTCTTTCAACTCAGGGTTGGTTTTGCTCGCTTTGTGCCTGTGCTTTTTGTCTGGGGACCTTACGTGCCCTGTGTCTTGGAGCTGGTCACCTTGGGATCAGGGCTGAAGGCACATACCTATAATGAATGAGGATCCTAGTGGTCATGGCCAGTCATTCCTGAGGTGAAACTCCTCTGCATGAGAGCGCATGTAATCACAGAAAGTTTCTTTATGACAAGTTTTCCATTTCTAGCATTTTTATTCTCAGCTCACCTACCTTCAGGGAGGTTGCATAGCCACTGTTTCATGAAGCAAACCAAGCACTGTGCTCATACTGGGGGTGGGGGCTGAGGATAAGGAGACAGAACCTCCTGCCCATAGGGAGAGCACAGTTCATTCTCTGGTTCACCTCTAGAGAAAGGGGGTGGAAGGGATTTTTTCCTGCACACTCCTCAAGACTTGGCCTGAACAACATAATATGTGTAAAGTGCTTGAAAAGGCTTGGAAGAAAAGCCAATAATAATCATAAAGGATGCTGAAAATTTTTTGTATTTGAGCTTCCAATTGTATTCTCTCCATTTCCTTTTTCTAGTCTTTGTGTGTCTGGAGCAGCCTATATTGCTAGTGTACTCTGTCATTCTGAAATAGTCCTAAGTGAATGCAAAGTGCTGTCTGATGGTCTTTCACGCCCAGTAATAATAGTTCACAGAATAACATTGATATTAAGAGCTCAGAAAAGTTAAGTAACTTACTCAAGCTCATACAGTTGATTAATAAACATAGCATATTAAGAGCTGGGCTTTGAACCCATGTCTGACCAACTCTTAACCACTAATGCTTTGCAGTGGATCTTGAGCACCTGGACGTCCTTAAGAATCCTCTGGGTAATCCACACTTGATCAGGCTTCTGGTACAGGAAAGGGTGGAAGAGCATTAAGCAGCATTTGCACACCAGTGTGCTTTGCTCTCTTGAATGAGGGGAGATGGGGATTTCTTGTGTCCTGTATTGACTCAAGCCTGCTGCATCAGAAGGGATGGGAGGTGGGTAGGCTAATAAAGGTTGAAGGAGGCATGAGAAGGCATCTTAGCTAGTCCTAGGGCCATTGTGAGCCTACTCCAAGTCCTATCCTCTGCAGTGAGGACCAAACCCAAGAGCCAGGACCAAGCCCAAGGCTCCTAAGGTTTTCCTCTCATACCAGCAGGTTTCTCTGAGGAACTCACCTGGACACTCACACCGGACTACCTTCCTAATCCCGTTTTGTTTCTTGCTAAAGGTCAGGAGCCCACTTCCTGTCTTCTGTAATTGCCTGCCTGCTTTCCTTTTTCCTGCAGCAGGAAGTGACAGTTACCATAACCAAGACTATCTCAGGCAGCTTGGGCACTCTATCTGGGGTCAGGGGGAGGAGAACACAGGATGGGATACACAGAATAAAAAGCGTCTGAAAAACACTGTATTAAATGGTACTATTGCAGCTCTGCCCTCCCTGGGAAAAAGACAGTAGGGAAAGAGTGGGGTCCCGTTTATACCAGGCTTCCTGCCTTGGGGGATGTAAAAGCCAGAAGAAAAGCTGACACCACTAGAATGCTGCTTGTTTAGATTTCAGATGCGTTCCATTCCACGCCTCTCTTAAGACCAGTTGGCTGCCCTGTGTTCAGAGCCTGGACCTTGTCTCCTGAATTTTCTGGAGGCAGAAATGTTGCTGGATTCTTTCATGTGTTGGGGTGTAGGCAGCACAGCCTCTTTTAGAGTCTGTGGACACTTTGAACTGTGCTCTTGTGAGCCAGTGCCAGAGGAATGGCATTTCTGGGGCTGGTAAACTTGGGAGAAACTTTTTGATGTCCTTACGAAAGCAGCATTTTGCTCTGAAGTCAGAGAGGGTGTGCTCTAGTAAAAGCAGTGAGCACAGAACTGCTTTGACCACATGCACCAGGCCTCGAGGAGACATCCACCAGCCAGTCACCCCCTAGGCATTCTGTTTTGCTTATGGTGGACCCGAGAAGGTGAAGAGAGGGAAGAACTCTGTTGGCAATACTGCGAAACCCTCATTGTAAGAGTTTACGATACCTTTCCCGTGTATCCTTCCTGAACCCCTTTACACCAGAGTGTAAGGCTTTCAGAGACCAGGAGACACCAGGGGGTGTGTGGGGGAAACCTGCACCGTGCCGAGGAGCTGGTTTTTAGCTATGTCCTTCCTCTTGTCCTTTTCCTCTGGCTTCAGTTGCCTGAACTGTTGCTGCCTGGCCTCAGCCCTGTAGACAGTCACTGGAGTGCGTTGTTTATACTCTGGCCAAGTAGGCAGCATAGTAGACATCAAGGCCTAGCGAGGAGGAGCCGACCATGTGACTGAAGTTTCCAATGGCAGGCGTCTGCCCGGATGGACCCTGTGAGCAGGGCCAGCCTGAGGAGCAGCAAACACAATACTGTGGTTTTAGTTTCTTTGCTGAGCGGGATTTTTTCCCTTAACAACTCCAAGCTTCTTGAGGAGAGGGAGGTCTATATGTTTGCATCCCTCGTACCCATCATGGTGCTTGGCACAAAGACAGTGGCCAGTAAATGCATGTGTTTCCCTTCAGAATAAACAAATGTTGAAAGCCAGGTACAACAGATGACTTAGAGGTCTCATCGTATGCACTGTGGTCCAGACTACATTTGGGGCTCAAGTTCAGGTTGGCAGGTGGGTTATTCTAGGGTTCAGTGTGAAATACAAAACCACTTTTTCACCTCTATCCCCATTCCGGTGCTGTGAATAGAATTTGGCAAACTGCTGGATGGCTACTCAGCAGTGCCCTATCCTTAGCTGTCCCTGATAAGGGGCAGTGTGAGTCCTAGGTCCAGTCAAGATTAGTAAAAGATCACTTGATAAGCAAAAAATAATCTAGCAAGTTGGACTAGGTCCAACTTGGACTAGGTCACCTGAGCAGGTCACCCCTTTTCTTAAGAGCGAAGAATTTTAGTAGCAGGTTTTTTTTTAGCCTTCTTTTGAATCATGCTAATTAACCTTGGCGATCATGTGTTTTGAAGGATGGTCTGGTGCAAATCCTGGAATACTGACTACATAAATTATTCCAGGGACTTTCACAGAAATGCCGGTTTTATTTAATGCACACTACTAATTATAGGAGAAACATCATCTCCTTACCGGCCAAGTTTAACACCTGAATATGAAGTGCTTCTGTGTGGACATAAAAAAAGTGAGGCACCCATCTCCTCTCTTTATAGTCAGCTTTGTGTGCTGAAGCCTCTTCCTGCTTAATAAGCCTTTTTTTTTTCTCTTAAAATCTGATGTTCTGTGGTTCTTTTAAATTTTTTTTTTCTTAATGGTACAAACTTTGGGAGGATGGGCAGACAACCAGGAAGAGGAGGATGAGAAGTCATATTTGAGAGCTATAATTGAATCTGCTAAAATGGTTTTTGATTTTTTTTTAGGATAAGGAAACCTGTGTGGGTACCAACAATCAGAGCTACATCTGTGACACAGGACACTGCTGTGGACAGTCTCAGTGCTGCAACTACTACTATGAACTCTGGTGTAAGTCCTTGCCCAGGGGTGTCTTGGCATCCCAGGTCCTGGTTACTCCCTCTGCTTGTTGGGAAACCACAGGTCGGTCAGCCTTTTTCTCATTCTCTTGGGAGCAGTGCTGATGAGTAGATTCTGTGTCCAGGCTCCAGAGCAATTCCTCTGTAGAATCTGTTCCTGGTTTCCAGAAGTAATCCTTTGTAAAAGAGCAGTGTTCATGGCTAAAGACTAGAAAATATGCCCTGAGCCTTTAGAGCTGTGGTTACCAGGTCTGCTGTGGAGGCTCTTGTCTGCAGCTCTCTTTGGTGTCTTCTCTAGTGTGTGCCGAGCAGTGACAGCAACTTAGATCCTTCCCTGGGCCAGCACAGACACCCGGGCTTGCCATTTTTGCAAAGAGAGGTTACAGCAGCCAAGCTGCCATGAATGCCAGGCTGGGGTCCGTGGATGGTTGTAATGCCACTTTCTTGTAAGAACCACAGGGCTTCCAGAATTCCCTGTAGAGCATCAAGGAGCTGCTTCTGTTTCTGAGGCTCCCACTCGAAGGGATAATCTTTCCCTGGGTCCTTGCCTGGGAGCCCTCCTGTAAAGAGGGTATCTGGAGGTTCAACCCCCTTTGTTTTTTCCCCAGTTCTCAAACTGAAGTATCTAGAGGCATCACCAGTGTACTTAACCTATTATATTAGCTAATTGCCACATGGAGACAGTCCTTGTCTTGCCACTGGTTTGGTTGAGGCTGGGACCACTTGTACTTTCCTTGTACCTACCTTGCACAAGAGTGGTAACATTGCCACGGTCTTCAGGGAGTGACCCAGGCTTAAAGAATTCACTAACACATTTTGGACTCTGATCTTCTTAGAACTTGGATGACATATTATAGGATGCTAGACAAAGAATGGGAGGATGGGTGGGAGAGACCTTAGGGCAGAGAGTTCCCAGGGGACCAGCATTCTCACAACTGTCTGTGGAGAGAGGAAATGGTAGACTGTTTCCTCAGATAGTTCTAAGCCTCCATCACTCTAAACACACTTTGGGCCAGTTTGACAAGCCATGTCTTTATTGCCACCCCCACCCTTTTTTCCCTTCTCCTTTCTGATCTCCCTATTTCCCCCACATTGGTGATATGGTCAGAAAGCAGCTAGAAGGGCTATGGTTTGGTATGGAAAGGAAATTGGACTCTTGGCTGAACCACCTCTCCCTCTCAATGCGAATGTATCTTGTGCCCGGTGGGAGTGGTTCCTCTAAACAGGACCTCTCCTCACCCTCACCCTTCCCTTTCGAGGACTGGCTCATCTGCCTTTCTGAGGAATCCCGCAGACTCCGCCCCCAAAGGAGGGCCAGGGCTCAGGATGTCCCCACCAGCCCTCTGTGTATATATAAGCAGCAGCAAAGGAGAGCCCAGAATTTTTGCTATTTTAGAAAGGGTGGAACCAAGGGACTTAGAGACACAAAGTGCCAAGCAGGTGGACAGACTCTGTTTAAATGTTTTAAAATGTAGATAACCACAGGGTTCAAATTCTCTTCCCACCCCTTGTTAAAACAAAAGTCTAAGCTGGGCTGCCAAAAAGCCACAGAGCTGCAGTTTGTTTTTCTGGGGCCTGGCCCAGGCGGCATCAGTTGTGGAAAAGAACGGAGTTGCTGATGGCCCCGTCTCAGATTGACAGAGCCTCCTGGGCCATTGGCAGAGCAGACTCAGCAGCCACCAGAATTAGGTCACCAAAGCTGGGGCGTTGCAGTGGGTGGGGACAGGGAGACCCAGATGGCAGGGAGGCAGTCTGGGAACCAGTGCTTCACCCCAAGGGCTGAAGGAAAGCTAGGGGAAGAGCAGCATGAATAGCTAATTATCTTGCCACTTAAGGTCAGTGGGGGAAAGGAGGCGGCCAGACAGAGGGCAGAATCTGGATGGGGAGAAAAGACTTGCCACTCTATGAATTGGCTCAGGCTCTCTAAGTCCTGGAGGGACAGAGACTATAAAAGCAGAACTCTTCTCATCTGTGCTGAGAAACAGCTGCTTGGTCACAAGCTACCCAAGGAGTGTTCCGTCTGTCTCAGAATTCTTTGGTTTTTCTACTTGTTGGGCTCCTGGCCTCTGCCTGGTGTGAATAGAAGGGAGCTTGAGGATTGGAACAAGTCCCTTCATTTCTCATCAAAGTGTACTCTTTTGTTGCTTTCGAGCTGTTCCCTCTAATTGCCTCTAAACTTTGTCTGAAATATGAAAGTAATGGGCTTTGCATTACTCTGTTTGTTTCTTCCCTTTGGAAGAAAAAAATCTCAGCCAGGAAATCCTTGGCAGAATTTTCATTTGACTGAGTATCTCCTTAACCACAGCTGCCTATAGGGAAGTTGCCTTTAAGGGGAAAAAACGCATTTCTACCAACCCTTTTACTAACCTGAATTTTCCTGTGCACTGAGAACTCTCTCCCCCCTCCCCCCTCTCTCACACACACACATGCAGCCCACTTAACATAGACACGCAGACCTTGAGCTTCAGCCAGCACCCCTTCTCCCATGTCTTTCAGTCCTTTGTAACCTAAGCCAGTAGTCATTCCTGGGCCTGCATCAGATGGAAAGCAGAGGTCCTGTTTTACCAGTGAAGCAGTTGAGGCTGTAAGGACTGGTCATCATTGTTATATCCCATGCATTTTTATGGCACTTGTACTTTAGCTCATCATTCAATCATTTATTCATTCAGCAAACTTGTACTCTGGTGGTTCTCAAAAACCACTAAACTTCCTAGAGGGCTTATTAAAACACAGATTTCTGGGCCCTACTCCCAGAATTTTTAATTCAATAAGTCTGAGGTGGACCTGAGAAGTTCCATTTGGATTCGTTGACCTCTTCTTTTGATACTAGGAGGGCATATCCTTGCCATCAAGAAAGGAATCTCCTAGCAGAGAGGAGATAAGACAAGAGACACAGCTAATAATACAAAGTAGAGACCGGAATGTATGTGCCAAGACTGCTGTGAGTTTGCTTTCGCTAGAGAGAATTCAGGCAGGCTGCCTGGAAGAAGTGGCATTTGAAATGGGCCTTCAAGGGTAGGTAGAATTTAAACACACGGAGAGAGAAAGAATGACTTGTCAGGCAAGAGGAACACCATAGCCAAGGCACCGTGGGAAAGAACAGAGTATGTATTCACGTTAACCTTTCCCCTGGGGCCATGGGGCTTGCCTGGGAAGAAGTGGGAGATGGAGTGCTAATGTGCATAGAACTCTCCTACATGCCTGGCACTAAGTATGGGCTTTCTGCCCATCATCTCATTTTGTCCCAAGAAAACCCTGCTAGGTATATATAGCATCTTAGTCATATACTTAATGTCTACTTAATGTCTCTCTGGCATTAAGTAACTCTTCAGTTGGTTATAGCTGAGTAATAGTCAGTGTGCCACACTCCAATGTCACCCCCCTTCCAGAATTCCATGCACCAGGCTGGAAAGATGGTAGGCCCAAGTTGTAGGGGGTCTTAAATAGGCTTATTTAATTTCCACCTGAGGATGCCATTTAGGGAACAGATAGAACAAATAAGAAAACCAAGACCTGAGGAGGCCAGGAACACACTCAAGGCCAGAGGGCCTGAATCCAGATCTCCTGGTTCTCATCCCAGGGCTCTTTCCATCCAAGTGACATTTTCCAAGGAGAGGTCAGAGTTGGGCATTTCTGCTCCTGAGATAATTTGGGGGAACTTCACTCAGACATCAGGTTTCCCAGGTTTGGGCTTTAGAGGGAGAGGGGAGTCATTCTAGACTAAAGTTTCCTGAGGTGACCTGAAACAGACGATTAGCAAATCCAGTTAACACTGCCCAGCTTGTTTTTTACCTGCTAATTTTCTTCTTTGTAGTTTGTCTTAAGATACCCAGTGTTGAGCTGCTCTTGAGGAAGGCCCATGGCACTTGCCACACTGAGCAGCATAGAAAGTGGGGAACTGGGCTTCCTTCTAAGCCCTGATTAGACCCCAGCTCCTAGCAGGCTGGGCTTCTGGACAAAGGCAGGTGGGTAGCAGGTGGGCTGGTTTTCCAGTGAATTTAGCCAAGATTAGAAACTAGACGCAGACTTTGGACTTGTTCTTCACCCTTGCTTTTTATGGATAACTTTTGAGGGTTAAAAGAGAAATTTACAGGAAATCCTTTCTATCTATGGTCATAACCTGTAATGATGGTAATAACAAGCTAGAGAACATATTATACATATACCAGGAATGGTTCTGAGCACTCTGCGTGTATTAATTCTACATATATTAACTCATTTAGTACTCACAATGAGCCAGTAAGGTAGAGATGGTCATTCTCCCCACTTTACAGATGAGGGAAGTGAAAACAAAACGAGCAAGGTCACAAAGCTGGGAAGTGCTTTTGTGAGCTGGGATTTAAGCCAGGTCACCTGCCTCTTCTCTTCTAAAATTAACATAGTCTGCAGTCATGCCCATAAAAGCTGGCCCAGTCTTCCGGATGAAGTTGCAAGCCCTCTGAAGACTTCATTTCCCAAATTCAGGCCTTCTCAGGAGCTCCTGCTGAGCACTGTGAGGGGCCAGGGAGGTCAGCCCCAATCCGTGGGGTAGAAGGAGAGCTCACTTACAGTGCGCTTTAGCTTCCTAATGAGGAATTTCCTGCCATTTGGGGAGTGGTGCTTTCCCAAGTTTGTGTGAACTCCAGGGCACATGACTCAGTTCCTACATTGGACTATGGTTGTTTTTAAAAACGTGTTTTCTGTTTTGCTTAGCATGACAAGTGCTCCCCACCATGAGGTCATATCTTCCAAAGTTGTCACTGGGGAATGAAATCTCTGGGTGGATGTATGTTTGGGGAGGAGGGCATACTTTTGCCTTTCTCTGTGTGTCCCTTTCATTAGGTTTTCCATTTTTAAACTTTCTTCCTTGTTTATGAAACCTAGTGAAAAGATGAAAAGTCTGTACAACTCCACAAAGTCTAGTCTGGACATTCCTCTTTTAAAGGTGATGGGGTACTACTTTGACTAGAATCGCTCCCGGGAGAATTTGTGAGGGCCAGACAAGAATGCCTTGTGCCTTCTCACATTAACTTCATCAAGTGGGACCAGCTCATCAGGAGTCTTTTCTGGACCTACACTAACACCCCATCCTTTGTGGTACTGTATTAGAAGTAAAGAAATTAGAACTTAGTTTGAGACTTATATGACATCATACAACTGGTACATGGTTGGGAGAGTCTTTCTACCCACAATACTGCATGACAAGAAGTAGGGTGGTGGAATTCCAATGAATGTGGGTTTTCTGGCACTATGTTAGAGGTGAATAAGACAGTTTTCCCAAGGGTATGTGTTCCAGTTGTCTCATTTCTTCCCCCAGTCTCCATCTGCCTTGCATAGTTTTTCCCTTCCCTTTAAAAAAAAAAAAAGCCCCTTTATCTCTTATTTCGAGTTCAGTGGGTCTCAGCCTTTTTCTGGATCAAGGATTCCCTTAAGAACCTATCAAACACTTTAATAAATCATAAGCTCCAGAAAGCCTATGAAGATACTACATCAGTCAGGATAGGCTAGATCTTGCTCAGTAACAAACAAGTCCAGAAATGCCTGTGGCCTAAAACAACAGGCTTATTTCTCATACTCTATACTCTTTGCAGGTTGTATGGAAGCTTTGTTCCCACTCATCATCCTCTGGGGCCAGACTGTTCCCAAAGTTCACTATCTGGAATGTTGACAGTTACCATGGCTGAGGGAGACCAATGGCTGGTCTCACTTAAGCAAGAAATGTTCTGGCCTCTAGTGACGTAAGTCACTTCCAATCTGTATTCATTAGTTAGAACCAGTCCCAAAGCTTTACCCAATCTTAAGGGGTCCAGGAAGTTCAAGGCCTACCCGCATGCCCAGAAGGGGGAGAATCAGAATTATTTGGCGAACATGAAAACCATGCATGGGATTTTTGTTATTAAAAATGTGGGTTGAAAAAAAAAAGGATGTTATAAAAGCTGAGAAATATTGCCCTAGATCATCTGTATTGTGGCATAAAGGTTAAAAGTTGCTTTACTTTAAGTAAGAAACTGCTGAAAAACTGACTTGGGAAGAAAAAGAAATACTGGAGTCAGCTGCCAAATTATCTAAGGGGAGAATGTACTTTTAAAATTATAAAGCAACACAGAAGTAAAAAGGATTGCAAGATTATGCTGAGCAAGTGAGAGACGAGCACGTAATACAGAAGAGTAGTCAGCCCAGAAGCTCTAAGACCAGACTGTAAAACATGTTTGGATCAAGGCTCTACCCCACAATGCACTGTGTTTGCTGTGCTGCCTCTCTCTAGTGCAGCCCAGGAGGCTGGGAGCCGCCTGAATCATAGAGGCGAGGGCAGATGTCTGTCATAGGATGGCATCAGATAGCCATTTGGCTCCCAGAACAACTTTCTGGCCTCAGCACCATTTTCTGAAGGATCCTGGAATAGTGTCTAGTCCTCAGTCAGTCAGCAGCAGGAGAGAAATACAAGTTTAAGCAAACATCAGTAGTGAACCTGGGAAGGACCACAAAGGAGACTTCTAACTTCAACTCATGTTTATGTTGTCTGGTTAGGAATGGGGTGTTTCTGTCTGCCAGTGAGAAAAGGGGGAAAAAATCCTCAGCCCATTGTCTTCCAGTGGTTCTCTTGTTGCCCAGCTCAGCAGAAGGTTCTGTTGAACACTGAATATGCCGAAAGAAATTAGGTATTGCCAGCCTGCCAGGGCCAGGCGGAACCATCCTGTCTCACTCTATGCAGGTGGCTTTGTGGGGAGAGTCAGCAGGCACACCTCTGGGGGAAAGAGCCACTGCCAGAGGCTACACCCTAAATGTCAGTGGGATCTTTCAGAATATTGTGTTCTGGTACAAATAGGGAAAAAATCAGTTTATTCATTTACAAGTCTGGGGGAGAAAGAAGTTTTTTTTTAACAAGATTAACATATTCTGACAGAGATACATGTGGAAATACTTAACAAATTCTAAATACAGATTTATAATTACAAAGAAGATGATAAATACATGTAGTATTTGCAATGGAAGAAAATTGAACAATAATCTATTTTCACTCAATGGCAACTCACCTTAAAATTATTCCTCAGGTAAATATTTTGAGAAAAAAATATTCTTTTTATTTCAAGGTCATATATGTTCATCTTAGAAAAATTAGGAAATGCAGGTAAGCAAAAAACGAGGGATCTAGTACCAGAAGACCTGCTGCCCTGTCACAGGTCTTCTCACAATTAACTTCCTGACCAAACATATATATATATATATATACACACACACACTCATTTTTCTAGGCAAAAAAATTGTATTTGACACTGTTTTGTATTCTCTTTTCATTTAATATCAGAAACATCTTTATATGTCAAAAAATAGTCTTCTGTGAATCTTTTTTAATGATTCATATCATTTAATTGTATGAATATATACCCAGAAGAATTAAAAAACCTATCCAGAAATTAATTTTTTATAAAATAAAAGCCAGCAAGAATAAAATCAGTCACAGATACTTTTTAGTTTTAGTCTACTTTGTTTCCAGTTGTATCATTTGAAAGAAAAAAATAATTGGGAGAAGAAAATTAAAATTTCTCATAATCCTACTACTTGAAGACAAGTTACTATTTTTTGTTTTACCTTCCAGTCTTTCCTTCCCGTGTGTGTGTGTGTGTGTGTGTGTGTGTGTGTATTTAAGCAAAATTGCTCACTATTTAGGAAACAGTATTTAGAAGCCTTTTCTGCATACATTTAAAATGGGGAGGGGCCTTGTCTTTGGGTTTGCCAAGATTCCCTGGTTATAACCTAAGACAACATGGTGGAAAATGAGGAAAAAGTAATCCACTAGGAGAGGAGAGCGCAGTGGCCCTTCTCCCATGTTCCCTTGCCCCCCTCTCTGGAGCAGGACAAGGAGAGGCTGCTGAAGGCTGTGAATCTAATGCAGTCACAGGCCAAGGGAGGTGAGAGTAGGTTGTTTGTGACAGTGGAAGATGGAATTGTACCAGATTATAGCAAGAGCAGAGAAAGTCATTTACACTCTCTAGGGAAGAGATGGGTCTGAGGCAATTAGAATTTTTCCATTTCTAACTTTAGCAACTCTTGTATTATGGAGGCATACATGGTAAAGAAAAGCCTCTGATCTTTTTGGTGATAGCAAAAGACCCTAAGAATTCCTTTACTGGCAGATGGCCCTGTGAGGCCCCGTGCAGTTGCTTATCTGCTTAGTGGTGGGGATTTTGAGGGGCTCTTTGCTTTTGGTCAAGCAGCCTGGTGTAGCAGCAGGAAGTGAGCCTGGGGAACCATCCTTATGGCCTTGAGCAGGGTTGGGAGATGGGAGATGGGTACCAAGAAAGCCTGAAGCATTTTCTCAGAGATCCCTTCGGAAGGGAAGAGGTTGCTGTCTTAAAAGGTGTGCATATTTAATGCCCACTGAACCTAAAATACAAGAGGGCCAACAGTACTGGAGAGGGGCTCTTCCCTTCCTCCAACATCCCTGGGGGAGCCCAGAGTGAGTGGCTTTTGCTGTTATTCTTATATTCCAGCCCTCTTCCAGCCTACGTGTCTTTTGCTCTTACAGACAGTTATGAAAATTGACCACAGGTTCTAAATGCGACTTCTCTAGGCGAGGCCTGACAGAACCAGCTTCCACCAGGCAGGTGCTGCCTGGGACCTCCCTGGCCGGTGTTCACTGTGTGTGCGTGCCTCTCTCTTGCCCGCCTTCAGGGTTCTGGCTGGTGTGGACCATCATCATTATCCTGAGCTGCTGCTGCGTCTGCCACCACCGCCGAGCCAAGCACCGCCTTCAGGCCCAGCAGCGGCAACATGAAATCAACCTGATCGCCTACCGGGAAGCCCACAATTACTCAGCGCTGCCATTTTATTTCAGTACGTACAGCAGAAGGCCCCGAGCCCCACCCTCAGGAGCCCAGGATGCACAGACTATGTGGCAGGGGCGAGAACCCCAAGAGCCCCCTTGCCCAGCACATAGCAGGGTCTAGAAAGTATGGGAACAAGGGGGCGTTCACCTTCAGCACAGATGGGCAGGTGCTATGGGAGCAGCTCCCTGAAGCTCCTGGGCCATTCCAAATCCACACGGGCTGGGTTCCCACCAGGTCTCTGCTCCTTTAGCAGATGATGTTTTTTATTTATTTATTTGTTTGTTATCATTAATCTACAATTACATGAAGAACATTATGTTTACTAGGGTCCCCCCTTCACCAAGTCCCCCCAACATACCCCATTACAGTCACTGTCCATCAGCATAGTAAGATGTTGTAGAATCACTACTTGTCTTCTGTGTGTTGCACAGCCCTCCCCGTGCCCCCCCCACATTATACATGCTAATTATAAGGCCCCCTTTCTTTTTCCCCGCTCTTATCCCTCCCTTCCCACCCATACTCCCCAGTCCCTTTCCCTTTGGTAACTGTTAGTCCCTTCTTGGGTTCTGTGATTCTGCTGCTGTTTTGTTCCTTCAGTTTTCCTTTGTTCTTATACTCCACATATGAGTGAAATCATTTGGTACTTGTCTTTCTCCACCTGGCTTATTTCACTGAGCATAATCCCCTCTAGCTCCATCCATGTTGTTGCAAATGGTAGGATTTGTTTTCTTCTTATGGCTGAATAATATCCCATTGTGTATATGTACCAAATCTTTATCCATTCAAGCAGATGATGTTTTTAAGGCAGGTAGTCAGATGGTATATGATGTGTAAATCAAAATTTAGAGTTTGGTGGCCTGAAATCTTACCCATTTTGCTTATTGCCCTGTGATATGCCCAAGCAGAGGCTGCCATGAAAGGGGCAGGTGTTGGGGATGACATTGGGATTTCCTGAGAACCAAGAAACTTCATGACTGACTGAAGGGTACTTACTTGACTCCCTTGGGGCTCCTTAAAAATGACCTTTCAAATGGTCAGTGGAGGCCCAGTTATGCAGTTTTTCCAAAGTCATTGTACAGTGTATTCTTCAGAGTAAAGGTTACAATGTGGAATTCCACATCTAGAAGGGATAATTGCTTATTTAGCACAGTGCCTGGCATATAGTGAGTGCTCAATAAATGCTAGCAATTGTTGTTACAATTATATCATCTTGCCTAAAGATATTCAGCACATTCAAAAGATAACTCACCTGGCATGTTCTTAATAAGCCTTGGATAACAGGCCCCTCACCCTTTGCTGGTAACCCAACCACTGTTGATCTGAGGCAGGGTGAGGTCTCCTTCTTCTTTCCAGACCACCTTTGGCTCCATTAGACTGAGAAACAAGAACAGATTTATAACCTCTCAGGAAAAGGCCCTTTTCATGGTATACATCTGGAAGGGTGGAGGGAAGCAAAAAGTGGTCAGAAAGTCTTCAATTGGGATCCCTAGCCCTGAGGACTATGGGACATAGGTGGAGGACACAATCTGAACAAGAAATGAGAGACTCGTGTGCAGGCAGAAACAGGTCCATGCCAGGCAGAAATGATCCCTTGACTGTCCACATTTGCCTAACCCTCTCCCTTAACTCCAGACAGGTAGAAGTCTTTGCCTACAAAACAGCCTTAGGTGCTCTCAGATTTCAAGAAACTAGATTAGGTAATTCCCAATCTGTCCCTGTTTGTCTGCGAAATTGCCCACAGTCCTCTCCCCTGCCCACAACCAAGAGCTGTAGCTGTCACTTGGTAGGTATGCTGGGAGTGGGAAGAGACATATGTTTAGTGTGAGTGTTGCAGTCTGTCCTAGAACAATTGCCAGCACAGTAATCTCTCCTCCCTATCTCCCATTTTAGGGTTTTTGCCAAACTATTTACTACCTCCTTATGAGGAAGTGGTGAATCGACCTCCAACTCCTCCCCCACCGTACAGTGCCTTCCAGCTACAGCAGCAGCTGCCCGCACAGTGTGGCCCTGCAGGCAGCAGCCCCCCAGGCACCGAGCCTGCCAGGGGCTCCCAGGGGGTGCAGAGCAGCCCTCTGTCTGGGCCCAGCAGGAGCAGCACGAGGCCCCCGAGCATTGCTGACCCTGAGCCCTCCGACGTGCCAGCCAACACAGCAGCCACCAAAGCCCCTGGAATGGAGCCCAGTGGTTCTGTGGCCGGCCTGGGGGAGCTGGACCCTGGGGCCTTCCTGGACAAGGATTCCGAATGTAAGGAGGAGCTACTGAAAGATTACAGCTCCGAGCCAGGCAGCATCCCCTCCGACAGCAAAGACAAGACCCCTGGCAGACATCGCCGCTTTACTGGCGACTCGGGCATTGAGGTGTGTGTGTGCAACCGGGGCCACGGTGATGATGACCTCAAGGAGTTCAGTGCTCTCATCGATGACTCTCTGGACGGGCCCCTGGACTTCTGCGACAGCTGCCATGTGCAGTCCCCTGGTGACGAGGAGGAAGGGCTCTGCCAGCCCTCCGAGGAGCAGGCCCGAGAGCCTGGGCACCACCATCTGCCTCGGCTGCCCGCATGCCTGCTGCTGAATACCATCAATGAGCAGGACTCCCCAAACTCCCAGAGCAGCAGCTCCCCCAGCTAGAGCAGGCCCGGCGTGCACTGGAGAACTTGGCAAAGCAACCAGGGTAGGGGAGCCACGAGAGAAGCATTAAATGACTTTGGGAGAAAGTGGTACAGCCACTTCTTTTTTTTCCCCCCCCTCCGCTCCTGCATCATCCTACATCTCCAGGTACAGTTTGGGGTGTCAGTGCCTCTCCCCCAGAGAAGCATAGTGTTGTCGAGGACTGTGAAGTGGGTTGGTTCTGTTGACCCATTCCTCATACCTACCCGTCCCTATTTTCTCTTTTCCAGTCATAGCCACACTTCCTGTTTGGGTCCGAGAGATGTAGGTTTTGAAGCTCCCAAGGAAGGGGGCTGAGACTGTACCCTGAGGTGGCTCTTGGTGAAGGAGTGGATTTTTGCTCTGGTGTTAGTTTAAGAGAACCTAGCTGTGTGTGTCTCAGTTCAGGAGAGGTGGTAAGTCTCAGCTCTGGATGAAGAAGGAAGCTTTCAGGGACCCAGAGATTGTCACCCCTCATTGCCAATGTCCGCAGAGCTGGATTTGGGCCAGTGGCAGGGTGAGAGCTGACAGGCAGCGTCTGGTGGAGTGGTAGGGGGCTTACTGCTTTCTTCAGCTCCAGGTGACAAGACGGATGGATGCACCACTGTACATCCTTGGGCCCCTCCCGGCAGCTTCTGGCTGGCTGCAGACTGGTTCCATGTGGAAGATTATACTGACTTCCCTTTGGTTTTTCTTTTAAAAAAATAATAAAAGTGAGCTGACAACAGGAATTTTACTAGGGGGCAGGCAAGAATCCTATTCTGGAAAAGGGAAGTTTGTGGCTCTTTCCCAAGTTGGCCTTCAAAGAGCCTGGCTACAGTTGAGCCAGAAGATGTTTTGTGTGCAGCCTGAGGTAGGGGCTGTTTTAGAACTTCTCTGAGTGCACAGGAGGCCCTCCGCCGTGGCAGTAGGCAGTGATGCAGCCTTCCGCATCTCTGCCCGATGGCCTGTGCCCGCAGATGAGCAGGGCCCTCCCCTACCCCAGGCACTCAGTCTGCAGGCCTCCATGTCTCACTGTCCTGTGTGGGTCCTGAGAAAAGGTAGCCCCGTAGCTTGGCCCTCAAACAGAATTTTCTAAGTTGTTTTTTTTTTTTCCTTTTAAATGACCACTTGGAAAAAATGCCTTGGTTATCTGTGGTTTTCCTGCTCTTTCTCTGCACACACGCACACACATACGCACACGCACACACACACACATCCCCCTTTTGAGTGGGGTAACTAATTTTTGTGGCCTATGTAAAGAGCCCAGGTAGGAGGATGAAGGCAGCCATCCAGAAAGACCACAGGATCCTTATTACTGTAGTTTGGCTTCAGATAACCAGTTGAGCTTTGATAGGAATAACCTGAATGGAGAAAGCAAACAGCCCAAACTAACATTCCCTGTCCAGCCCTGATCATATGAAGAGTTTGTTTCCTCTCCCACTCTTGAACGATGATATTCAGACTAGGCATTGATGTTACGGTAAGGAAAACAAGCAAAATATATGTATGTACAAAAAGAGACAAATTCAAGGCTGTGAGGTGAATGAGTGTCTGCGTTTGAAATCCACAAAGCCAAAATCCATGTTGAACAAAGTGGAGTCCATATACAGTGACTTCTGGGATAACCTGTGTGTCTCTGTCTGTTGCGTGTGAGCCCCCAGCCCCATTTTCCTGTGAATATACTTTGAATGGCAGCCATTCTGCTTGCATTAACCATGTGTCTGGAGCAGATAGCGCCCTCTCAAGGTAATTTATTTTACACATGTACTGTTTACTGAGCAGTGTCTGACTGTGTACCCAGGTGCGTTCAGCGGCACTGTTGCTGACAGTCCCCTGAGTCTGCCACAGACACCATGCTCGGAGTAGAGGTTCTACTCTACCCGTCACTGCAATTTGCACATTGCTCCGTGGACACTTGGAGGCCTGTGTTCTGTTGCCTGTAAATGGAAACATGCTCCGAACCTGTCTGCCTTCCTCAGCTGCTCCTGGCCTTTGGTATTATCCCCTGGCGGGTGTCCACAACCACTTGGGATAGAAGGCAAAGGTGGAACTTCAGATCGAAGTTTGGTTGGATCTTCAGTGACAAGCTTGGCTGCGCTGTGGCCCAGACACTGGCCCTGCCTCAAATTGCCTGGAGGGTTTGGTGTGCACCACAGTGCCATAGGGCTCATCTTCTCTACCAAGGTCCAGTACATGCAAGCAAGCCAGGGTGTCATGGGAGTAGGTAGGAGTGCATCAGCAGCCTTCAGATGCCTTTCCTTCCACCTTTTAAAAAAAGACAAGCAATCCCAAACAACTCACTGAAGTGTCTCAAAGAAGAGCAAGTTTTACCAAAACAAATCCTTCTTCAGTTAACTGATCAAATGGATGAATCCTGGCCCTCCCAAGTTTCCTTCCCAAGTTCCAGTGGGGAACTGGTCTGAGTATTAACTGTTGGGTTCCCTGCAGCGTCCTACCCTAAAGACACAGAAGAAGAAAACACAGCGGGCAGAGCTGGGCTTGATTCCAGCAGTCACTGCCTGGCCCCTGCTCCAAGAGACTACCTGGCGAGGAGAGAGATGGATATGGGAGTGGAAGGACTAGTTAGGGGGCCAGGGATTGTTGACTGAGTCTGGTTTTCCAGGTGAAGGAGGAAGGAAGGGGTTAGTCAAGGGTTTGGTGCTACAGTCGGAAGATTTGCAAATGCTAACACATTCCTATGTGAGGCACATCACCATTTGTCAGTTATTGTGAATACGTGTATTTTAAGCAATAAGATCCAGCTGGTCAGACTTCTGGGCAGTCTCAGTGATGCATTTCCTGTGCTGTGATCGTTCTGAAGACAGAGTGGCTCTAACCACTGTGAGAAGCCGAAATAAAATCGATCCCAAAAATTCTCCTGTGCTTTTTTTCTTATAGCACTTTGTTCCTTTTTCTTCTTCCTCAGATTTCAGGGAGTTCCATCTCGAAATTCTTGACCACAAGTGCTTTTCCTTCTCCACAGAGGCTGAGGGAAGTAACCTAGCATTTGGAGACAGGTGCCTGGGCCAAGAGCCAGCTGGGTACTGCCAAGGCCACACTTTGTCCTGAGGAATGTCCTCCAGGCCTTCTCTCTGCCTAGAGTGTATTTCTGACATTTGGAATACTTTGTAAAGTCCCACAAACAGGTTAAAATCAGACCCCAAAAAGCAGAAACAGGTTTTGTCAGATACCCTGAAACTAAAACAACATTTCAAAGGAAGCAAGCATTCTGTGAGATCTCTTTTAATGACATGATAGACATGTATGTGGGCACTTGGCCTTGGATTTAATACACAAAATATGCATTATTGAGTCTCCCGCTATGTGCCCAGCACTGTGCTGGATGCTACGGAGAATGCAAATGAAATACAGAAGAAAGACCCCTGCCCTCTGTGAGTTAAGTTACAGTCGGGAAGGCAAAACGTGCTTCTGAGAAAGTCAGTTGACAATAGAGAGTGGGTTGAGATGAAGTGAGCAGTGCAGACCCAGAGAAATCTTCAGGAGTCATGGGAGGGAGCTTGATGTCTTACACACCAGGCAGGGACCTCAAAATGGAGTTTTTTTAGGCCACAGGGAACCACGGGTGTGCTAACATTGGCCAGTGATTCTTTCCTGACTCAGTGTCATTTGCTTAAGCTGGTCCTCTTAGAATTTTGAGTCAACTGTAAGTCTCTGCCTGAAGGTAAGGAACCAGCAGTCTACCTCTGCCAGGAAGGGGAGCACCCTGACCCTACAAGGCTTCCCCTCTGGGTGGCTGCAGGCAGGCAGAGCAAAATGCTTGTGGCCTTGGAGCCCTCGAAGAAGGTTCCCCACAGAGAGCGGTGCTGGCAGAGCGCTGTCCTCTCTAGCCCCTGGATTTGGCTGACAGCACTATTGTTTCAAAGAGTCCAGTGTAAGCCTGACACATGCCCCCCACACCCCATCTTTGACCCTGGACCCAAGCATACTGTCCTGGCCTTCCCATGTCTAATAGGTTGTTGCTGCCCAGTTCCTTCTAAACTGTTGGGCATCTGCAAGTAATCCCAAGGGAGATGGTAGTTTCTAGAGACAGTTTTGTTATAAACCCACAGGAAGAATTGGAGGAGTACATAATTCCTGCCTCTTAAGCTAATATCTGAGTGGCACAAGAACAAACTGGTACAGCTCTGGCAGGCTGCGTGCCTGAGACCACATGCACCTTTGATTGCCGAGTCTGTAGGGCCCCCGTCACTGCTCCCCGGGCTCCTGGGTCACTGAGTGCCTTTCTCTAACGAGGTATAGCATTGGCTGTCACCACTGTCCCAGGCGGCCAAGTTCAGGGGCGGACAGTGCCAACACCCCAAAACAGGAAACAGTAGCTTTGATGGACAAGAATTTCAAAACTCCCCATTCTCCAGTGTCCTGTTTGCAGCCAGGGTGGTAAAACCCAGGGTTTGACTCAGGAGTGGAACGTGGATTGGGCTGGCTGTTGGCTAAACCTGCTGGAAACCCGGTTCTTGTTGAACCTACTGGGAAAGTCAGTGGGTCCTGGGAAGTGTTTGGAATGTGGGTTTCCAGTCTGGGGAGAAGCACCTAGGCTTGCTTAAGATCTGAACATTTACTGAGCACCAACCGTGTGCTAGGCATTGGGAGTGTAGGTATGCCTTGACCTGGCTCCTGGAGAGGAAGAAAGGCATGCAAATATTAGCACATGGTAAATACTGGGGAACATGTACACAGGAGAATAGAGCCCACTTGGGGTTTTAGGGCAGCTTTCCTGAAACAGGAACCTCTAAAACCTAGCTTGCCAGGTGAAGAAAGGTGTAAAGGAAATGGAGACAAATGTTCCTTCTGCAGATAATATTGAGTGCCTACTATATGCCAGGTGCTAAAAAGCAGAAAAAGGCCTGGGAGGCCTGAAACAGGAACATGTGGGTGTTCTATCTAAAGCTGGCAGCAATTAAATTTTTCTAGAAAATTGCTTTCTGGGAAGTGACGGGATGAAGCTGGAGAGGCAAGCTAGTAATAAAAATAATATCATTTAAACGGTGGGTCTTGTATAAACATCTTACCTCCATTTTTTTTTTTTTTTTCGCATTTTGGCTTCAAAATAGCCCTCTAAAGTATGGATTGTAATCCTGTTTTATTCATGAGGTTGAGGCACTCAACAGGAGTTGACTAACTTATCCAAGATCACACAGCTAGGAAGTGGTAGAGCCAAGATTTGAACCCTCACCAGTTGACTCCAAAACCCATGGAGTTAGTTGGCTGGACCTGTTGGTGCTCACAAGCCACATGAAGAAATTTTTCTTTGAGAGGTGAGGGAACCAGAGAAAGGTGTACTGAGCAGGGGAGTGGCATGGTGAAGGGTTTCCTCGTGAGCCTCGTGGGCCCCTTCCCCCTCCCACTTGCCTCTCCTAAGTCCATCCCCAACCCCCACACCTAGGCCTCACCTGCCAGAGCCCCTCAGCCCCGAAATGGTCTCCCACCTGGGATGGGTGGTGCCCACTGCAGATCAGTGTTAACTTCCGCAGAGACATGTAACCCCTTGGAAACACTGCAGAATTCTCAGGAGTTAAGGCTGTTTGGGTTTTGTTTGTATCTTTTCCTTGTAAGTGTTCCTGGGAAGAGAGAAAAAGAGAGCTTTCCAGAAGCTTGTTAGGTGGAAAAGAGGATTTTTTGTTTGAAATTTCTCTTCATTCTTTATAAGCCTGCCTCTCACTGCAGTTTAGCCTTCCATTGAATGTCTTCTCACCAAGAAGCCTCAAGAAACCCAATCCCACTGGAACATGTTACAAAATACCCTTCCTCCGTGTTGCAACCATGAGAAGTTGGGCTTTCCACCCACTTCCCAGCTGCCAGCCTGCCCTAGCTCCAGGGGGAAGGGGCATGGCAGGCAAGGCCATCTGGAGCTGCAAGGGTGGGTTTCTGGCGATGCTGTCCTTTGGGGAGACCCATCTGGACACACCTGCTTCTCCTGACCAAGCCTTTGGGAGGTTTGTGAAAAGCCCTTAAGAGAGAGACCTATTCTGTGGATCTGATGACAGGCAGTGATGATAAAGCCAGTACTTGCTGAGGCACTAAACTCAGCATCGGTCCGTATGTGATCCCCAGCAGCACTCCGTGGTTGGCAGTGCTGTTTCTGTGCACACCTCAGACCTCAGCTGCCCGTATCACAGACGAGAAAACAGGTTTGGGTAGGCCAAGTCTGTTGCCTACAGCCCCTCGGTCTGTCAATGACAGTGCAGGAGAGCTTGCTTCCTCAGCCTGACCTCTTACCTTCTCTGACTCCCACCAGTGGGGAACTCTTCTGCTCACACAGCCCTTTCTGATTTCATCTTCACCAGAACCCCAGATGATGGGCTGCATGGGTGGTAGTTACTCCACAAGTGAGGAAACGGGGATTCAAGAAGCTAGCAATAGGCCTAAGATCCAAGGCTAGGAAACTGGGAAGCCGGGGGACTAGAACCTGGGTCTTCCTCCTCTAGGCTTCTGCCATCCCCACTGTCTGGCCTGGGCGATTGGGTTCCTGTCCTCCAGAGACAGGTATTTATACCTGTGAGTATGACTAGACAGAGGGCTCCCTGTTTGCCTCAGGTTTTGTGGCTACCAGGGGCTGACCAGAACATCCCCGGCTCTCACCCACCCACAGTCCACACAAGGCTACCAGGGGAGGGGCCTGTGACATAAACACTCCCTCAGAATTGGGACTCTGGGGACCTGCTCTTCTGAAGGCCAGGGGCAGCCTGTTTCTCCCAGAAGGGCCAGCTCTTACAGCTCACAGATGATTTTTAAAGTTCAGGACTTGCATGAGCTGTTAAGTAACCATAAGAAAAAATTAAATTATGTAAGCCTACAATAGAATAAGTTATATTAAAAACAAAGGTGATAAATAGTCAAAACTGATCACTTCCTAATTTACTGCATGTTACTGTTACCTCTGTGCTTGAGGTTATTGTATCTGTGTGTGGTGGGAATACTATATAATGGTATTTCCATTAATACATAATATATTAATATATAATATATAATGGCAAATAACATGTAATGCTATTGTGCATCTCCTCCCAGTTCTGTTCAGTGATGTCACATTGGTGGCTTGAAATTGGTTGTGGTGGAGTATTGACCTCATGGGAATTGGCAAACACTATAAATAAGGGCTGTCCCCACCACCAACACCAGAGAGCTGGTTGTTCCAACATTTATCATCACGTTGTTGGGTAAGGGCAGTCAGGCTGGAAAGGTGACTGTGGGGTCTTAGCAAAAACTTTCCAGCTTTGCAAAGATCTGGGCTTCCTTCTGCACAGACCAATTGGTCAAGTGATTTAGAGAATTTTTAGGATATTAGTTGGTCCTCTTGTGTGTCAAACCTACATGTCAGGTGCTGATGTGCAGGATAAAGGACATGTGAGGACTCAGTCTGGAACTGCAGAGATACAGGGGTGAGCAGTGTCCCAAGGGATCCCCACACCCATTTTAAGCCCAGGCAGGTGCTCAGCATGTGGGATACCAAGAAACAGAAGCTGAGTGCTAGAAGGGTACAATCAGGTGGCTGGGAGTTGTGAGATGTGTCCTGGAGGAGGGCATTCACTCTGAGGCTCAGGGTGCGAATATTTAGGGCAGTGGGAAAAGATCTTCCAGGAAGGAGAGCAGCAATCTGGGCAGGAGTCAGAGTTCCTGAGGTCATTTCCTGGAAGGAGACTCCACTTTGTACCCTTCCTAGGAGGCACCCCTGGGCCCTTCTGCACGGCCCAGGAGGACAGGTGGGAAAGCATGCCTGCCTGGCTCCTCCTCCTGCGTCATTGAAATCTTGGGTTCTCCTCCCAGCCCTGCAGCTAAGTAGCTCTTTGCAGTAGATTGAGCCCCCTTCCCACATCCCCACTGGCCCTGTCTCACCACCTTCCAGATACAAGGTTAA